GATATGTCATTCGATGAATAAGGCATCCAGCTTCCCATGATTATCTTTTATTTCAAGATTGTTTTCCGTGGGAACGTAAAATTCCACGAGCAGGTAGGCACTTTGGGTCATCGAGGAGGCATCTACCTCCGCAGAGCAGATGCCAAGGACACGACCTCGACATAGGCTGGTCAGAATTTTTGGATGCGAATCGGTGACCCACGGATGCGTCTTGGATTTCCATGCGCCTAGATTTCGTGGGCTTCGTTTCTAGAATAAGAATTGGCGCAGAATTCTAGGTGGAAGCAAATTCGGAAGCTTCAAATACCCAAATAACCACTTCACTTACTGCCAAACACAATGTGACAAAAAACATAAAACCCGCCCTTTCTGTAAAAAACCAAGCCACAGAATGAAGGCTTTTCTGCCTTATATCATTACCTGAGTCCTACTCCCGTCCGCTGTCGGCAGCCACTGCCCTGGCCCGGCTGCCCCCCCCCCCCCCCCCCAGGGCTGACTGGGAAGTGATCGTATAGCTGCTTTGCCGCAAGTTTATGGATCAGCATTACCACTTATGGTCGTGCAAAACATATATTGTGGACACCTGCAGCAGTGCCTTTTTACCGAATTATCTTGCCATTCACCACATCACCACAGTAAAAAGCTTTCGGGAAGCCTGCCTGCTTTAGCCCTGAACGGTCCAACGGATATTCCATTGTCCCTCATTCAACGTAGCCAGCTCGATCTACTTTTGAATGTAGACAGGGGATGTAGCCTTGCCAAAGGTGAGAGGCACAAGGTTGACAAAAGCCTCCTGGCGGTGACCTCCCAAAAAGATCGCCAGATATAGCTTAGCTGTTAACAAGGAGCAAGAGTTATCTTTGTAGCATTGCTATTTTTGCCTTGTAACTAGAAACAGAAACAGAAACCAGAAGCTTTCGCGAGATCTATTCTGCTTGTATTTTGAGGCCAATGAGCTGCAGAATTCAGCCGTTGAACGACTGCATTGAATAAATCACCGACGCTCTTAATTTGCAATGGTTATAGTGGACTCTTTCCTAAACCGATAGAATTGAGAAGCCATGTCAGATTTTTATATACGAGTTCTAGCAGCAATATGAAGCACCTCTGTGATGGTAGATTGCAAATCGACATGTGTAAAAAGTGCATTAACATGGACCTAGCCATGTTTGTCTGGAAAGTGCTTGGCATTCAGTCAGAATCGATTCGGCGGTACAAATTACTGCAACGTAGCTTTGAACATGCGTGCTCGTAAATCTTAGGCAACAAAATTCTTTAGTACTGTTATTCTTTATTCTTCTTCGTACGTATTCTTTATTTTTCGTGTTGCATACAGCCTCGATAGGCCGCACAGTGTCTGCCCTGCGGCTTACATTAGGCCAGTAGCCAACGGGTGGACAAAAATGACGACGCTTCTGAAAGGAATACCTTATAACGGCTTTAGGACATCAAATCTTACATTAGAGGGTAGTTTGGGCGTAGAGTTTGCCTGTACGAGTCTTAGACCTGATGATCAGATCTGTTTGGCCCTTACAGCAAGGGGAAGAGGCGCTGGAATCTGATGGTGGAACTGGAAGAGTAAAAGGAAGGATCTTTATTTTTCGTGTTGCTGTGACTGCAAATCGGACAGATGAACTGCGGCACCCATCGCCTGGTGTCGCTTGCAGTCGCCAACGCCGTTCGCATTTACGAAAGTTGCAACCCAGGTCATCGCAATCGTCGCAATCGCGACCCAGGTCATCGCAATCACTGCGGGCGCGCGTGCTCAAAGCTTTTGACGTCATTTGTTTCACACCAATCGATTGCGCAAAAGAAGGAGCGTTCTCAGGCAAACATGGGATGACCTTGATCTTGTTGACCTTGACCTTGGGATGACCTTGTTCATTTTTCATTCATTGCGACCCACTCTTTTCAACAATAAGGAGACCCCTTGTTTCATTCCGGGCAAGGAAGCCCTTGAGTAGAACACTAGGAACACGTTGCTGCTCTGAGGTCAACGGCTGTGGTGCAGTTCCGCCCCATCACGGGATGTCTTCCGGCTGCCATTCTGGTGACACGGTGCGGGATCCCTGGTCGATCCGGAGTCGTTTAGAGAGATGCGCCACGTCACCTTGTTCTCCTTCGCGGGAGGCCTTATGACCTGCGCAGTTGACGCCGGATAACGTAGGAACCCTCATTGGCGCAAAACATCCATGATCATCGCGGGTGGTCCAGTAACTTGTCGCAAAGACCTCCGATTTTTTCTCTGTTCTTCAAGGATATTAAGAATACCCTGCACATAGATTGTAGATCGAAATGAGGTCCAAAATTTGTATTGACATGCCTGACTCATCTTCGTCTTAACATGTTTTACATTCAGTCAGGATTGCTTACTGAGAAAAAATTATATAACATGGGTTTCAGCACGCATACTCGCAAATCTTAGCAACAGCCTCGACGCCCGGCGTTGCATTCTCCATAGGCCGCGTGTCGGCCTCGCGGCTGTGACAATAAGAGATGGCCAATGGGCAAGACGAAAGAGATGATGCATCTTCAAGAAGATGGTTGGTGAGCTAGGTTAATTGGCATGCATGTTACTAGTATTACAAAATAAGCTAGACACAACTTAAATCTGAAAGAATGGGGAGAGGGGGGCGGCACTTATCATTGCTGCCCCCCCCCCCCACCTTAAAAAGTGGAGGCAGCCAGCCATTGGCCCTGTGTCCCCTGCCCCTGTTCCTACGTCCATGCTTCTAAGAAATTGTGCAAAGCTAAACTCAAAAGATGACTTTTAACGTTCCTACGTGCTCGGTCCTTCGTCTCTTAACAGGTGTGTTCTCCAGCGCCTGTGCCATTTCTGACGCTTGCATCACGGTGAAGTAAATCCCATCGTTGTCACCAACGAAATTGTTGATAAAGTGGACAACCGGAAAATTTATATTTTGGCGCTTTTCAATAATCTTCAGCACTTGGACGTGGTCGTGGCACTGATTGACTCCGAAAGTGATTTCGAAGTTGGATTTGTACGCAGAAGACAGTGCCTACTCTTGCAGTTATCAGACGAATGTAGTTGTAGAAGTATATTATGAACACTGCGCCAAACAGAACGACACCATAGCTTTCCCACGTGCATGAAGCGTGAAATAACGCATCAGCTGACCGCGGCACGTTAACCCGTGACGTCTCAGAGCGGGGTCAGTGGGGTTAGCCAACTCTCTCGGCAAAGGCCAGTGATTTTGTTGCTGTATTCGTTTTGTTGGTAACAGGTGCATTTTGGTTCAAATGTGCCGAAACAGTGCTGTGGATTCGATTTCTGACAAAGAGGTGGCTGAAAATGTCTTTTAGTGAAAAAGGTCACTCGAGGTCACGGACTCCATGATCCAGGGGACTTGAAACTTACGCTGCGTAATTCGCATGGACCCTCGGACCTCATTTGACCCCACCTACGTGATCGAAACACTGATCAGATAGATCATGTTTAAGACATCGAGGCTATCTGTCGACCAGATAGATCGCAAGGCAATCCGAAATGATGTTAGTAGATATTCGCAGTGTCTCAGTGTCTCCGTGGTCTATGAAGGTAGGTAGGGTATGGTTGTCCACGCTCAAGGTCACAGGAAGTCATGAAATGACTAGATTAGACTGCATGGTCTTAGGCGACGTCACGCGGGAGAAAATGTTGGTCTATTTTGGATCCAGCTTTAACGCCAGCTTCAACACCGCACCAGCTTTAATCTCCACACCCAATAGATAGCAGACCCAATACCCAATACTCCACACCCAATATAGATTTGTTGCTAAGCAGACCAAACAAAACGTGATTTGAATACTTCCCACAGCGTGAAAGGTCAATACAAGCTTCTCAAAGATCTTGCGATAAGAAAACTGCATATGGCAGGTTACAAAATTACATGAACAAA